AACTTTGTTATTTTCACCCCTAGAACAAAACGAGCACATAACCCTTGCAGTGCGGGGTAGCCCCAATACAAAGTTTAAAGTGACATTAAAGTCTACATTTTTTTCCCTCCCCCCATGTTAATGTCAGCACATGTTGTCCTAGATTGTTGACTTCTCCTGCCTTCTCCAAACCCTTTACCCTTTTGTGAATAACCCTGATAATTACTCGCTTTCTGGTCTATAGGCAGCGAATGTTTGATCTCTTCAGGCCTCACACAAACACTAAATAAAAATAGACCTGAAAAGGTGTTAAGATGCAGCTGTCATTTGTATTGTTCAAGAAATAAAAGTAAGGATTTGCTATGGGCAAAATAGACACTTTCCTAAAGTGCATTTATAAAGGAGCCCAAAACATACCTCCTGCAAAACACCTATGAAATCCATACATGTATAAGAAGCATGCACTGCGGAAGGAACGGAGTGCGGCTGAATTCTGTCAGAATCATGGCTTAAAATTGCTACGAGTCATGCTTACATATAGCGTCCAGTGTGTAACAAAAGGCATAAAATAGTGCAATGTCTATGTAGAAGTATAGTAAATAGTAACCAAATGGCAGCAAAACAGACATTTTCTGTATTTTACATATATTATAAGTAGAGCTGCAGCTAACGATTATTTTCAAAATCGATTAGTTAGTCGATTAAATGGTAGATCGCAACCGACCCCACCATGCTGTCAGCCTCTGAGTGCGTCAGTGCCAACACCATGCCCACCCACAATGCAGTGTGCAGGCCTAAGCTGGCAGACACAGCTATTTTTTCTCAAGCATGATGTCATCTGCATAGCCCACCACCTTGCGTTCTGTATTGGAGGACAATATGCACTTGGTATTGAGCTTGGTTCCAATATGGCAGAGAAGGAATTTGAGCTTCAGAATGCTATAAGAGGGGGGTACCCCCCAAATGGTTTTTGGACATCGGTCAAGAGGAGGAGTGTGGCTTTTCCTGTAGTGAGATAGGTGTATGGTGTTCAGGGCTCTAGTTGAATTATCTTTTGTTTCACTATAACGGAGGAAACCCTCCTGATTCTGTAACTTGTATCTGAATAACCATAAATCTTTACTGCCATCTAGTGGTCAGTCAGTGTCTCAACTTTCCTGGAAATGGGTAAAAATACAATTCTATTTCATCAAGAACCCTGGAATATTACTTGAGATGCACCAATACAATTTTTTTCCAGACCAAGTACCAACACTTTTCCTTAACCAGTTGACATCCGCGGTGTTAAACCCCCTTCCATACTCGCCGATACCAATTACCAATACCTTTATTTAGTGTCATGTGACAGTTTTTCTAAAACAATAGAAACTAATGATATTAGGACAGTGTTGGGAGAGCCAGGGCCCTGTCACAGCTGCAACCGCTGCGACCCTGGTAGTTCTGCCACTGGCTCCAAGCTATAGAGGAACTACAAATTCTACCAATCCATTATACAGCAAATGCAGAATACCACCAGCTATTGAGGACTACAAATCTCAGCAATCCATTATACAGCAAAGCAGAAAGGCACCAGCTATAGGAATACAAATCCCAGCAATTATACAGCAATGCAGAATACATCAGCTTTAGAGGACTACAAATCCCAGCAATACATTATACAGAAATTCTAATAATATGAAGCTACATTCTGTATTGCTCACCAGGGCTGTGCGGCGTCTCAGGAGGCTGTACGGGGTCTGACCAGGGCAGTGTGGCGTCTCAGGCGGCTGTAAGTGGTCTGACCAAGGCTGTGCGCAGTCTCTGGAGGATGTGTGAGGTCTGACCAGGGCTGTGCGCAGTCTCTGGTGGATGTGTGGGGTCTGACCAGGGCTGTGCGCAGTCTCTGGTGGATGTGTGGGGTCTGACCAGGGCTGCACAGAACGGGTGTGGGGTTCTCCAGGACTGTGCCGGTCTCTGTGGACAGCAGGAAGGAGGAGTTGTGTGGCTGGACCGGCGCTGCCAAAGACAGCTGCCGCAAGGTCCCCAGCAGTCTGCCTGAGGTCCCCAGGAAGCGTGAGACCTCAGGCAGCTGAATCTATTTAGAAATACAAAGCCTCTTAGTATGGGGGCATTTTCACAAGTACGCGTGGAAAATGCCCAGTATCGGCACCGGTGCATACCTAAATATTATCAATCGGTATTCACATGGAATGTCCTCCATGGACAGCACAAAAAATAAAATCATTTTTGCAAGACAAAATATATGTATTACTTTGTTATCTTAGGTAATAACAAAGTTACTGCCGAATCAATAGGTCCATAGTAGAAATGTAAACATTGCTCCATTCCATAGGGAGTATACAGGTGCCAGTCATTTAAGTTCTGGTTGTGGAAGAGGAAAGAGTCACAGGGCAATGCTAGTAGCAGGAATATGAAGGATGGTTGAGGGTCCTTTGCAAAGGCTGTATAAATATATTTTAACTGAGCAGACAAATTTGTCACCCTGAGTACCCATTCAGGCTAAAACTTTGCTTTAAATCAGTTTACCAACTAGGTGGCACCCATGCGTGAATGGGGACTTAGTGATTATTCCCTACTACATGCTACTTGTGTGCCTCACGGAATAGGGAGCAATTTGTTCCAAATGTGTAGCAACTGATCACTACTACTAGCGATTTAGTAGCACAATCCCTTGGCTCATTCTGCTCTATCCTGTTACCAAGTTCCATGTAAGCATATGTGTATGCAGGACAACTGATTGGCTCCTAGTGCTATTTTCGCCCTCTCCCAGTCTGAGTGTTGCTTTAGAGAGGATTACAAAAACAGATAGCAGGTCAGATTTTCAATAAATACAAAGTAGATTCGAGCATGTCTCGATGCCAAGATGAACTAACCGTCATCCTGGGCTGGCCAACCAAAATAGCTGAAGATGGGGAACTTAAAGGAAGACTGGTTAAAGACAATGGTGTCAACAAGGGAGCTTGAGTATGTGGCATCACTAAAGCAAGGTACGTTTAAGCAGCTTTAGTTGTGTTTTAACTCCAGCTAACAAAACGCAGGTTACCAAGCTGGCTGCACTGGGTAGAGAGAAAATCAAACTTTTGTATTACAACTGTGTATTTAGCTCTTTACCCTAGCAAAATTAAAGCCGAAGTCCAGCCAAAAATAGGATGATAATAGCCCATTAAAGGGTAATTACAAACCCAGCTTTTCCTGCAATGTTAACCTTCAATTTAGAAATGTACCCTACAGTACTATTTTTCAGCCACTAGATGTCCTCAGTCTGATGGCCAGCATCATTCAACCGACCCCCTATAAGCCCAGGCCATCTAGGACTACCCTTTGACTAGACAGTGAAAGGAGAGGCAACACAGTGATGAGATCATCTCTCTGCACTCCGATTTCTCTTCCTATCAGCATGCTTTTTAGCAAATTAACTGATTGGCTCCTTGCTCTGCTTCTTCTCCTGGCCTGAGCTCTGCTATACAGGGACTGAAGGAGGCTGATAACAGGTCAAATACAGCTACTTGCACTTATTGTATATAAAATACATGTAATGCTATATAACTGATTACAGAGCTGCATTCATTTGTCTTTTATATTTGCCCAGAGTTCCGCTTTTTGTCAGCCTCTTCCATCACTTTTAATTTCTTCACTGTTGGCATCCTTCTTCCTACACTGCTCACATCTGCCCCTCTGCCACCCACAGGGAATACAGAGGTGAGTAGTGTAGGAAGAGGGATGCAGAGGTGAGCAATGTAGAAAGAGGGATGCAGGGGGTGCAGAGGTGAGCAGTGTAGAAAGAGGGATGCAGAGGTGAGCAATGTAGAAAGAGGGAAGCAGGGGGTGCAGAGGTGAGCAGTGTAGGAAGAAGGATGCAGGGGCTGCAGAGGTGAGCAGTGTAGGAAGAAGGATGCAGGGGCTGCAGAGGTGAGCAGTGTAGGGGGAAGGATGCAGGGGCTGCAGAGGTGAGCAGTGTAGGAAGAGGGGTGCAGAGGTGAGCAGTGTAGGAAGAGGGATGCATGGGGGTGCAGAGATGAGCAGTGTAAGAGGGATGCAGGGAGTGCAGAGGTGAGCAGTGTAGGAAGAGGTGTGCAGAGGTGAGCACTGTAGGAAGAGGGATGCATGGGGGTGCAGAGGTGAGCAGTGTAGGAAGGATGCAGGGGCTGCAGAGGTGAGCAGTGTAGGAAGAAGGATGCAGAGGTGAGTAGTGTATGAAGATGGATGCAGAGGTGAGCAGTAGAGGTGATGATTAGTTGGGGGAGTGGGCTCTGTCACGTATGGTGTATGGAGCCTCAAGATTTCTAATGGCAGCCCTAGCTGGAGCTACCTTGCAACTTGATGAAGTGTGTTCATGGGGTGGCTAGATGGGGAGAAGCTTCTGTCATGAGGGTCCATGGGGTAACTAGCTGGGACAAAAAGCCTGTCAGTCATGTTGTTGGAGCTAAACTACAAGCTGATGAAGAGGGTCACATGGGGCAGCTAGATGGGGAGGAGCTGCTGTCAATCACCCTGCTGGGACCACCACCCAAGCCAATGGAGAGAGTAACTTGGGGGTAGTCTCCAATAGGTTGATGATTGACAGTGGCTCCTGAAGTGAAATCTGCAGGTAGTGTTTCGTGCTTCCTCTTAGCTCCACCCACTTATCAGTATGTATAGCAGGCTGGGGAATAACATGACCAGGATCGTAAAACTGTCCCTAAAACTGCATCTCTCAATATTTTTATAATGAGATCTATAGACTACTGTTTAAATGGTTTCATTTGCTTCTCATATGGCCAAACCGGGTAACATGAGTGTACATACACTTTAAGCTGGCACATTGTTAGCCCACCACAACCATTGCCTCAAAATGAAGAGTCTCTATTGAATGAAGCAAAGTGCCTAAGGGGTTAATTAATGACGTAATTGCCCTCCATTGGCAACACAGACGATCCCGAAGGATCAGGACAAAACAACACAACGCTGCCCGTCCACACTCTGCACTCACTGGCCCCTCCCCCTAATCATCAGCCCACCAGCTGTGTCAACCCGCCACCCACCTGCGACTCCGCGGACAGCAGGCACGCATGAGTTCCTCCAGAGCGTTCATGAGCCTTATAAAATGATTGTCCTCCTAGGCTTCCGTAGTAGCTGGTCGTGGGCGAAAGCCGTCTCCCATTGGCCGCGAGAAAGTTGGCGCTACGTTTTCCAACGCTTCGCTTAGTTTTAGGCTGTCTTCAGATTCTTCGTTAACTCCAGTCAGCCATGTTTCTTTCGGGCAATATATATATAGTTGGATACGAATAAAATATTTATAATAAGCTGTGTATTACCACGTGTAGGTTTTGCATGCTGTATCCAAAAAATATTTATTTTATTTTTTCCGCACATTTCACAGCTACCAAGAGAGGTGCACATACTGGCCAGCAGTAAACATGGCGGCTAGAGCTCCATGAACGTCATGGCCTGACTGAGGTGACTCGGCGCGGGATTCGGAAGGCGACTAAAGCTTGTTCGCTGATCAGCATGTTCTGTGAAAAGGCCATCGAGCTGATCCGGGAGCTGCAGCGAGCTTCTGAGGGACAGCTGCCTGCCTTCAATGTAAGTGCTCACACCGGCTTCCTGAAGGCCGGTGTATACCAGGTCACTGCCCGAATTTAGGATGGGATCACTTTATGTTCCATCCTGATAGGAAAACCGAATCTGTGACAGGTTCATGTTCACACAAGTGGAAAGAAACCTTTTACGTGATAGTCCACCTTTTGTAAAAAACGAAGACCTGCGACCACATTAATAAAATAAGAATGTGCATTTATATAAAAATGTTGCATTGACGCAACCAGACAGAGCATTGCAAATGTGGTCAGTGTTTTGGAGTGCACAGGCTCCTGCATAGAGTACCCTGAACCCCCAAGGTTGTATGGAGGTACAGACCTTTGTTTGTGGGCCTGGAGGACATAATAGACTACAAGTGAAGTGATGTCACAACACTTGTACTTCACTGAGAACTATGAGTCCCCCTTCCATACTGGCAGATGGGGCTTGTAGTCTTTCCATTTGCAGATCCCAGTGAGTGGATGATGCAGTTGTGTTTGCAGAGCCATGCCAAATAAAAAAAAAATCAACAGGACCTTCCAGGGAGCAGCACCCCATGATGGAGGGGTGGTGGAGTTGTGAAACGCGACCATGTTTCATGTTACACTCTAAATATGGCAGACTGCGCCTAGGGGAAATAAGCAGTTACGACTGTCACTTCAATATCTCCATGGATAATATTAACCCTCTAACCCAGGGATGGCCAGCTGTGGTGGAACTACGAATCCCATGAAGCTTTGCAAGACTCACAGCCACAGACATGACTTCCGGAGAGAGATGCTTCATGGGATTTGTTGTTTCACCACAGCTGGGGGGCTGGAGTTTGGCCATCCCTGCTCTAACCAAACCTGCTCTTTTTTCTTGTAAGGCAAGCTATATTCACCTAAGTCTATCTTTTGGGTCCCTTGTTGGCGCCATTTCTGGGTGTGGAGGACTTCCAATTCAGCACAACAGACCCCACCGCTGGACAGCCAGCAGGTAGTTCCCAAGGCAAGTAGGCAGTGACGTGGCCACCCAAATGTACACCAAGGAAGAGAACATTTTGACTCGGTACTTGAGCGCCAAGGAACTGTGACTTAAGGTAAGTAAAAGGGTTTGTTTTGGGGGGTTTTTGTTAAGCCAGCAATCAGTTGGGGGATGATTATCTGGCGATCAGCTTTAGGCCTCATTCACACAGCGTAAAGTCAGGCCGTCCAGATCCGTGCGGCGTGCACAGCCATATCGGGCCATTCCCAGAAGGGACAGGTGCTGCGTGTGATTGCACGCAGCAGCCTGTTCTTCTCTATGGAAGGGCACAACCAAGCTGCACATCCTTGCCAGTCCGAGTGTCGGACACAGAAAGGATGGATCCTGTCTGTGTCCCAGCATGGACACCTAGACCAGCACAGGCGTGCGTATGTCAGCTTACGGCCGTGTCCTTTCATAGGGAAGAACAGGCTGCTGTGTGCAATCACACGCAGCACCTGTCCCTCCTAGGAACAGCACGCCGCACGGATCTGTTTGTTCCGACTTTACGCTGTGTGAATTAAGGTGCCCATACACCTTACGATTATCGGGCGAAACTTTTCGTCCGATGATCGAATAGTCGTACGGTTTTCGTACGGCAGCCCCATCCTGCCCCGATGATCGCAAGATTAATTTAGCCGTAATTAACGAAAAGCACCTGGACGAAATGCGGTAATTGACTTGCCGTATTTTCGTTAGCGCAAGCGCAGTGTAGATCGTACGACTTTTGACGGACGGAAACGCCAGCAACCTTGCGACAATCGTACGATCTAGCAAAGTTTTCAAACATGCTTGACCGTCAAAAGTCGTACGATTGTACAGTACCGTCGGTCGGACACTGCAATGCACACATACGATTATCGGGCGAAAAGTCGATCGCATACGAAAATCGTACGATAAATCGTATGTGTATGGGCACCTTAAGGCCTTAAAGTGACATTATACTCAGCAGTTAAATCTTTCAAATGCATTCAAGTCCCCTAAGTATTAACGAGCTTGGAGCGGTGACTACGTTACAACACACACTAGGGCCATGAGGGACAGCCACCCTCCAGAAGGAAGGACCGTGTCAGCATGAATTCTGAGATGATTGCACACAAAAAAGATGCATTTTTGTTAATAGGGCACTTGAATGTATTTTTAGGATTTAACTCCTGAGTTTAGTGTCACTTTAAGTTACATGCCAAGGACAAATAGCATTGCTAGCTGCAGCCTAGATTATGTTCCTGGTTACACAAACCACGTCATTTAGAGGTTCTAATTTATTAACCATTTGTTGCCTTAGTAACCAGCAGGATGATATATTGCTCGCTCATTAGTAGCTATAATGGTATTGTGCTGTTTTTAGTGATGTACTAAGTTCTCCCCATATTTGTATCTTGTAGGAGGATGGAGTGAGGCAGGTACTTGAGGAGATGAAAGCTTTGTACGAACAGAATCAATCAGATGTGTAAGTACATAAAGATGAATTATTAAAAACATCCATAAATGTGTGTATGCCCCATCGGAGACACAAATTTAGCAGTAGCTCCTCCCACACTTGAATCCCAGATTTTGTTACACAGAGTGCATGTTAAAGGAGAACTATGGGGTAAGTGTTTTTCCCTATAGTTCTCCCCAGGGTCACGGGAGGACACAAACTAGCGTCCTCCCATGACCCAAAGCTCAGTATACCTCGAGCTACAGCGCGCGGTATACTGAGAGCGCCGCAGCCGGGACAGATCCCGAAATTACTGTCGAGATCCACCCAGCTGCGTGATTGACAGCTGACTCTGCCTATCCAGAGGCAGAGCCAGCTGTGCCCTCCCCCATCCGTTCCACCAGTCAGCGCTGGAGGATCGGAGCAGAGAGGTGGGGAATCCCTGCATCCCTGAATGACAGTCACGGCTCTCTGCAGGGACAGGATTGAGAAATGAGCGAGCGGCGCTATGTGTTCGCTCACTTCCCGATCTATTGAGCTGACGTGTGACAGTTTCATTGTCACACGTCGGCTCTAATTATGAGGATGAGTGATTTTTCACTCACCTCATAGTTCTTTAATTGTGCATTTTAGTCTGCGATTGCACAGTGAAAACCTGGCAGCGTCAGGGTATAATTAAGAAAATATTTAGGCTGCCACTAATCTGGCACATGCTAGTTTTCTGGCTGTAAGCTGATGTAATGACTTCACTATTTGGAGTAATTGACTTTGAACAAGTGTACAGTATAAGTGAGTCCTGACGTCACCGGCTGTATATTTCAGGCCACTGACAACTAGAATTTTCTAGAGAAGTGCAGTAGAAGCCTACATATTTCTCCCAGTACGGGCTGATTGATAGAAAAAGATTTGTGTTGATTTTTGTCCTGAACCATCATACAGCAAAGAAGTCAGCAGCTGAACTTCAGGCTTGAATTGGGTCAGTAGATCAGGAACTGTAAAGCCACAGGATGAGTATGGGGAAGTGTAATGTGACGTGTTCCCATAACGGCTGCATACAACATACACGGTGATCATGGATTTTAATTGTTTGTTTTCCACCCTAGTAATGAAGCAAAAACAGAAGGTCGAAGTGAATTAATACCAACTATTAAGTTCAGACACTGCTGCCTGCTACGAAACCGACGCTGCATTGTTGCATATCTGTAAGTTCCGTTCAGAATTACTTGATTAGAAAATGTTCCAATCAAAACTACCCATTTTATGGCTGATGAGACGCGTTGGTTACATATTTCAGCTGTAGGTTTGAGGGCCCATTCACACTAATGCGTTGTTCTAACGGGATACGTTGACGCCATTCATTTTAAATTGCAGGTAATACAGCGCACCAAAACAAGTGTGCTGCGTTGGGGAAAAGAATGGGTCATATCCATTTTTTTGGGGTGTATTGTGCGCTGGTAGCCCATGATGCCTTAATGCAGGGCCTATGCAACACATTCATGTACTGCAGCGCAAATGGGCCCTTATCATTCTCCAGTGAAGAGTTGAACTCTTTCAGGTACAGATATAGGCTGTGTATTGATTTCCTCACAGCTTTTAAACTTGCAGAGGGAAGCTGATGGTATTTGAAGTCTCATCCTTTATACAGAAATAGAGTGGTTGTTGTTGACCCGTTTGCTGCTGCTGTCGTAACTATTATGGTGCGGCACTGACAGGAGGTAAACAAGCTTGTGGCTGCAACAGTAGCTGCGCGCTTCTTTCTGCTGTAGAGCCTCTCGAATACATCTACAGCACTCTAATATGTAGTAAAAGGCTTGGATCATATTCATTGGCCTCGGCCAGCTTACTAGAATACTATTGATAATTGAGTTATTAGTGTTTACTGTCAGTTTGCCGTAAAGTATGTAGAAAAGTACATGTTATGGTTCCATATTACATAATGTCAGGAATAAATCACAAGACAGATTTAACAGAATCGCACGTATTGTGGCGTGTACAACTGTTCACATACATGTATTTCAACTGTGTTTTTACTGTTTGGAGTATCACTTTAAGGCCCCATTCACACCACGGCATTTCGTCACACTGAAGGGCATGCAAATCAAAATCCCATAGATTCCTATGGGCGCCGTTCACTCAAACGCACTGAATCGCGCATATAAATATGCCTGTTCTGTAAAAAAGTCCATGAGCTTCTTTTGTGGCGCATATTAGATCATTTGTCTCCATAGACTTAAATGGAAACACACTTTTTTTTTTTTTGCAGCGGAGACGGCTTATTATTGGACAGCTGAAAACAAGCCTTAAAACGTTCTTAAGTATAAATAGAGTACGCATGTGAAATGCACATAAAAAAACGCAATGAAA